CCCGTATCGATCTAAATGTAAAGTTATAAAGCGGGTTTGAGGTGCTATGCTTCTGGTCTGCTGCATGTCTACAGCGCTCTCTGTGTACTCTGCTAATAACCGGGAGCATTAGTTGAACTGGCGTTTAATATGGTGATCTGTATAAGCAGTGTGCGAAGTGGAGAAATAAAAGTGTCGCTGTATTGACCGTGAGAACGGCGGCGGGGGTGTTGGGAACAACAGAAGCGCCTAAACAGCACTGTCGGTACTAAGCGCGATGCCCCGCCACTCTCGCGTGATGCTTGTCTCTGAGTAGCAGAGTACTGGCAACTTGTGAAAAGTGGTGGTACTGTAATAGACAGGGTTTATCACAGTGATGTGATTGGTTCTGGGAGCAAGTAGCCCGGCCCTTGAGTCTGTGAGGTGATTGGTGTACGTCATGTTGGTACGTCTGTGAGAGTTGAGTTTTGGGTAGTAAAAAGTTTTCTAAGGTTGCAACGCGTCCCCGAGAGTTTTATTCCTTTCCCCACCAAGATATTACAGGTACGATAAAGATTAAAATTTAGAAGTGCCGGTACTGCTTAATTTTTATTACGTATATGATGACTGCGTATATGATCCCGCATTTGCACTTGCAACACCCAGGCACACACCTCCTCTTTACCCCGACCTGCAGAACTGTCGTAAACGTGAAAATGAGTTGCGTTGTGAACCTGCGGTCGATTACTTTTCCTCAAGCACCCGGATGTGGGTCTCAATAAGTTGAAATTGAATTTGCGAACTGAAAATTTTCCAGGCAGGATAAATGCAGTTTCAAGTTATTGGAATTCAGATTCAAACTAATAAATTCAGATTCAGTTTTGTAATGGCGACAACTGCAGATTCAAATATACAAAATTCATATTCAGTTTCTAGTGGCACAAATATCAGCCCATAGACCACCCTGTAAAAATGCAAATTCACATTTCGCACTTGAGGAGAGAGTCAGGTGTCACTGCCTACGGGTGCCGTCTTTGGACAATACTAACGAATCTCACACAGAAATCACATACACTCACGGCATGTGCAAAATGAGCAAATGCAAAGAATTCTTTTTTTTTTTTGTGAAATTAAAGATGTATAACCATCCTACATTCCCACACAAACACAAAGAGAATATGAGCAGCTATAAAGTATTTGTAAAAAATAGTTTTAAAAATGATTAAATGAATTGATGGTGTTTTTGGTGATGATTTTAATATTTTGTTTTTCTCATTTGGATGTTGTCTAAAATGACATACAGAAACTCACCTAAACACAAACATGGAAATCCATCTACACACAATGCAAAAAGCCACATTCATCACAATAATTGTGTGAATACAACCATAACATAGTATCAATGGTATTATTAATAAAAACACGCAGGCACACTTACATTTCTGTAAGCCTGGTCTGGTCCTGCACTCTCCACCATAATCCACACTATAGGAGAAGCAGAATGACATAGTGCTGCTGTATCCATTTATTTATTGGTGCCTCTTCTTCACATACATGCATAAGTATCTGTAGCGTGTCAGACACACACTCTGTACTCACTTCAGCTTCTCCAGTTTACAGCTGGGATCCTCCAGTACAGCAGAGAGCAGCTTCACTCCTGAGTCTCCATAAACCCCAAACCCCGGACAGA